TGATGCAAATAGAGCATGAATCAGACCCTGCAGTTTTATTAGCAAAACCTCAGATGGAAGATATCTTCATTTACTGATGCTGCTGATGCAGATCAATGGTTTGTTTAACCGGATATATGTGTCTTGGATCTGTGCAAACCCCGCCCCCCGTTAATTTTGACAGTATCTGCAGCAAATGCCATGGATGCCTTTCACATCCAACTAAATTAAATGCCAAGTAATCACTTTCCAGTGAAGCCACCTTTTTAGAAATAGTTGAGTGTGTTTACTATGTCTCTCACTGGAGCTGAGGATAGACTGAAGAGTGGCAAATTTAAAAGGTCTATGTAACTAGATACTGCAGAGCTGTCCATTGCATGTGGTAGCACAGGACTGTCCCTATAGGTCCAGTAAATCCTTGTCTGCCTTCACTTCTGTAAGCAGCTGTTTGGTCCTTCCAGGGCCCTGAACACAATCAGTACTCACAGTTGTGGTATCCTTCTCCCTGGGATAAAGGACTGCACTTCAGACTTCTCTTATCTGAGAAGGAAGCAACGAAATGCTGCTGCACGGCGCTGATCAGGCCAGTTACATTGGTAAGGAAATCTGAACAATCTTGTTCTTTCCGTTTTTCATCATGAGCTGCTTAGATTGTCTCTCTATTCCTAGTTACAGTTTGTTGCTTGAAGGGGATGGCAGCTTCCCTTTTTCCCATAGTGACCTTGTTGGGAGACCATGTATCAGCATGACTCCTTTTCCTGAGAAAGAAAATGAAGGGAAGCAGCAACTCCTGCTTCTTCTGGTAACTGATGCTCTTACCTTTCTGATGATAGCCCTGCCACACCACTGGCAAGTGTTTGCCAGCCTATGCAGCTCAAATGTATTTTAATAGGCATATGAAGGAGGCCAGGACAGGGATTTATGTTGTGTGGAGGGACATACATATAAATATAAATACAACATAGGAGAAAACATAGAAATGCTTGAAACAAAACTTGGTTTGACAATGGTGCAGTTATCACTTGGAGAAGAAAAGGGGTGCAGGTGAGTTTCTCTTTGTGGCACACTGAGGTATGACCATATCAGGAGCAGGCATGCCAACTCAGGGGTAGATGGCCCAGACAACACTGATGCACAGCCATTAAAATACAAATTCAGTTTCCCTAACAAGCCCATACTCCAGGCCATTTCAATGCATCTTCATAGCTTTTGTTGTGCTGCATAAATTAAAGGTAATTAAGATATGCTGTGATCACATGTTTTTATTTTGCTGTTTATAGGCAAGGTAAGGTTAAGATGGCTCCAAAATAATACATGGGAAAGAGCCAGGTGGATGCAAGGGTAACACAAGGTCAGTGAGCTGATAGGATTTCAGCATTTTCAGTGAATTTGGAGGAGAGAAGGGAACAGAACTAAACTCATGGTGGACAGAAATGAAAGGCAGAAGTGATAAAGATATAAAATTATCATCAAAGAGTAAAAAGAGATGATGCTATGGTAATGATGAGGAATATCAGTGGAGCTATGAGTCCCAGGACTTCACCTCAAATGTTGAGTCAGGAGTGAGGAGCTAAAAGTCTTGCAGATCAGATGCAGACTTTTGTGTTAAATAGAGTTTTGAATGGTGCAGTTTTTATCCTTTGTATCACTTAGCTCTTCAGCTGTGCTCCCTCAACTGGAATATATTTGTGGTAGCAGGGAGATTGCACATAAAGTAGAAGATGGGAAAACACAAAAGGCCAATTTTTTGTTTGCAGGACAGTGTTCTGTAAAGCACAGGTCTTACAGCTATCTTTTGGAGCTGGACATTGATAGTACATTTTTATTTGGTGGCTAAGGAATTTATCTGCCCTAAATGTGTCTGTAAATTTGTGAATGGGTGAGAGCAACAATCCTTCATACTCTTCCTTTAATTTGCATACCTTTCTCTGTTTCTTTTCTTTGTCTGCTTTTTTTTGTTGTTTGTTTGTTTGGTTGGTTTTTATTTTTTTTTGTTGTTGTTTTGTTGGGTTTGGTTTGCTTTTTTGTTGGTTTGTTTGTTTTTGTTTTTTGTTTTTTGGGTTTTTTTTGGTGCCAGCAATTACTTCTGAGCAGGAAACCTTTCTACTTTATTTCCTCCCATTGGTTACATCATTGATCAGTTCGAGAAAATATTTCCAGCATAAAACCAGAGAAAAATAGAAGGATAAGCTACTAATATTTCTCAGAGCCTTTTTTTTAAATTCAAGCTGGTTTTAGAATTGGAAAGATAGAAAAAGTTTACACTGGGGTGGTTTACAAAATGGACTTCCTGAGATTTTTAAATGATGCTTCGGAGAAGACTTCACAAACCAAAAAGGCCTGATTTTCTGGAGAAGATTAAAATGGTTGGGAGTGATTGTTCACACTATCATCTTAAAAGGAAAGTATATACATACAGCCATGGGGAGAAAAAAAAAAAAAAAAAAAAAAGCAAAACTATGAACAATTTGGCAATGCACTGTGATAATAAAATCTCATCTTTAAAAATATATAAGAAATAAGCATACTACTAAGAGGGCTATACATCACACACATTGCACCAGTCAAACCAAAATGGTCTAGATGGTCTAGTAACTGCCATTCTTAGTTTTAGCTTAAGGCAAACATGAGGTAAAACACATGAAGCTAACACTACCAGCCCAGATAATCCACAGTAATTTTCTAAGTTATTACACAGAATACATGCAGCTGTGTTGATTTAACAAGCCAAACCTTCTTTCCATAAAACAGAAAAGGTGTAATAGAACAAACTAAACTTCATTTATAGCATGTGGTCAAATACCAGTTTTTAGTTTTCTCTTTGTAGTTAATTGAACTTGCATGAACTTGAAATTGCTTGAAGTAGCTTGTCTGTTTGAACTAGTTTGCTTGAACTGCTTTCTGTTTTTAAAAAAGTGGATTCATAATAAAAAAAAAAAAGCTCATAAGAAAGGCAAACTGTTTACTTTCAGCAACAACCCCTTTTATTTTAATATTTTGAGTTTTATAGATCACATTATGATATCCTACTATTGTGTGATATCAAACAAAACTTTACTGCTTGAAATATAGCTGACTAGGCTATCATTTACATTGACTATATTCAGAATATAATTACTTAAATATTTCAATTATAATATTTTAATTTGTCTTTAATTTACTGTTGTTTATTTTTTAATAGAAAATTTTATAATTTGACCCTGTTTTCCCAGTATACACATATTTTGTCACTTACAATGATGTTTTTGTTTAAGAGTATACCTAGCTATTAGACAACATGTTTCTAAAGGAGTTTCCAAGATCAAGTAAGCATGACCATTCTCACTTTATTTCACCTATTCTGTTTACACAACTTTTTATGTTTCTCATTTTTCTCTGATGCAATTTTCTTTTTTTTTTTTTTTTTAAGAAAGGAAGGATGTGCATACAACATAATGATTAATATGAACTATTAATATGCATGTTTTCTCCAGTTAAGTTCTCTCAGTCAGCAATTCACTGGAAAAATCGTAAAATGGATTTAATTGTGTGCTTGTCTAGGAGGGACTAGATCAACTCTGTTTCAGTGGGATTTAGGCACTTAAATATATAGCAACTTTAAAATCCAAGGCTTCAGCATTTTTCTAGGTGACCAATATAATTCATTCAAAGCTAAATTCACATATTTAGATTTCTCCTTATATATTTATTTATACACTATCTTCATTAACAAATATTTATAAATATACATAAATGTGTGTGCATGTATATGCATTTCTTTCAGCAAGTCTTTCATTCTTCATTGACTTTATAATGAATGTATGGATGCATCCATTTTAAATATTGATGTGTCAAATAACGTAATATACTTAAGAAAAGATCGTGAGATAGTACTTGGAAAGGGTAAAGAAAAAAAACACTAATAAAGTATATGAACTTGGAAAGTGATATTGATCTGGAAATGACCTGTTAGTGCATGCTAAAAATCCATGTAAGTGAGTAATGACTCAATGACTCTCAATGACTGCAGAAGTCAGAGGACTGTTTTTTGCAGCTAATATGTGATAGCAAACAAATTAATCAAACTAAAATCAAATTATGTAAAATACATTGCAAATATAGTGTACAAAAAATGAGCCAAATACCTGAAACCCTTATTCTTCTCATGTCGTTCCTAAATCACATTTGTGGACATTGTTTTGTAGAAACCAGATTTCCTGTATTTTTAATTATGTAAATTACATACCATATATTTAAATAGATGATATAGATCACCTTATTTTTTTATGTCAGTCTTTCAGATTTTCTCTTTACCTGTCTATACTTTGGGAAGTTCCGTGGAATTCTTTCAATAAAACTGGCAAAATTTTTATACAGAAAAACCTAACAACCATGAATGACACATTAAGTTTAACAAGGAACTGGGGTTTGTTTTGAAACAGAATTTGGAAAATAACACTTTAAATAGATAATGAAACTATGATTTTATGCATAGTTATGGAGTTCTTAAATGAGGGGGTTTTCAACTTTACATGATTGTGGCTTTTCAATCTACAATAATTCCTTAACAACATAACCTCTCAGGTTTGATTTCAGTGTTGGTTACCAATGTTTATAGCTTGAATTATGAATATAACTTTATCTTGCATAAGGAAATGATTTATATCTGTATCTCTAAAATTGAAATCCAGCCATAACATTTGTGTAACTGATAAAAATCTGCTACTCTGCTACAATGAAGCAAAATGCCTAATAATTGTCATCAAAATAAATTAGTTAAGAGTACAGAATTGAACACAAAGGTTGTCACAAATCTTTTAACTGAAATTAGGTGATCAACTTCATGCGTTATGAATTCATTTAAATCTTTAAAAAATAATGTATTTTGCTTTTCAGTAAGTGAGGGATGAGGAAGAGCTGATTCTCTAATGTATCTGGGTTTCAAGTTCCTAGAGGCTATATTTTGAGTTTAATCTTCTGAATTACATAAAATTTGTAAATCTAGTAAAAGAAAACATTGCCATTAAACTCAAGGTAAGAAATTATTATACATTGCTTTATGTATCTTTATATAAAAAGTTACAAGTAGCAAGCATATGACACAGAAATGGAACAGTAACAGCAGTAATTGTGAATGCATGCTTTTTACAATGTATCTAATAAGGGAATTTTTGCCAAATCAAATATTCAGTAACATACATGCAGATTATTTGCTCAATGTCAAATTCAGTCATATTGCTAGATGCTTTTCCAACAAACATTTCTATTGAAGTGATTATGAATGGCTAAATACCTGATTTCAATAAATTGTTCCTGAAATTGGGAATTTAACTTGCAACAAAAAGAATAGAGAAAAGGAAAAAGAGAAATGACCAATAAGCATAATAACCAAAGTCTTATTGCCTTCTAGTAATTTTACTCAACACTGTTTGCTGAATTTTGTCATGTTATGAGAATAGCTGGTCAGAGAGTCCATAAAACCTCTAGCTGGTGTTTCCAAGGACGATAGTTTCACATTTCATTGTAGCATGTTCAAAATCACGTAGGAGCGCACTATTCTCAAGCAGTCTATATAATGAAAACAATGTACATACGACAAAAGTTCAATGTAAATCTTCTTCCACATATCACACAACATATAATTAAATAACAGACATAAAACATATCAACTAAAATAAAACTAAGATGATTTTTTTTTTTTTTTTTTAAAGGGACAGTCTCAGTTAGGAGCTAATTTCTTCTTCAAGTTTGCATCAGATTTCCAAATGTATTTAAAAACTAAGGAGCACTTGGTGGCTAGCAACCAAATTATAAAAGAAACATATTATTGTGCAATGGGAATATGTTGCTAAGGAAGTAAGATATGTCTGTACTTCTTAGGTTTGGATAAAGGCAAAGAAATTAAATTAGAAACACGTCCACTCTTTCAGACAGCTGAAATTATTCACTATAGATTTTTCCATTCAGAGTTTGCATGACTGCATGAATAGATGTCTGAAAGCAAAACAAAGTAAAAATAAGTTCTCTCTATGAGGAAAAAATACAGAAAAATATTTACTCACACTCTCTAGAAGCAATAAAAGCATTAAAGGATTCTTTCACAGTAAAATTGCTGTATACATATATACACATATAAACATGTATATACACATATCTATGTTTATATATATACACACATATACATACATAAATTGACAGACTAGCAACTATCTATAACTTCATTATAAACATCTGAGATTATGTTTATTGAGACTAAGTGTTGATGACAAATTATACAAAATGAAAAGTCTAGGAAAAGACTCAAAAGAAGAAGTTCAATTTACAAACATTAACATCAGTGCTACAGCATCTATAAATTTACCAGTACTACCACATACCCTTCCCCTGACACTTCAAAAGGTTGAGTGAATAGAATGAATTTAAAACATATAGTTCCACATCTTCCTGGCTTGGGTTAGATTGTCAAATTTCACATGCTGGGACTCTAAATTTTATTTTCATAAATCAAAAAATAAAGAACAGAGTCATGCAAATCATCTGTCTTTATAACATGTTTGGAATGAAGGTTATATTTAGCTAGGGGATAATTATAGTGCTGTCACAAATAAGGAATTACTAGATTTTGCTTAGTTTACTATACTAAAGTGATCATCTGTCTTTCAGTTTTCTCAGTATTCAAACCTGGCTCTCTCCATACAAGCTGACATATAACTTGAAAACTAACATGCATTTTAGCAATAAAACAAATAAAATGGAAAGCAACAGATGGTTCAATTGTTGTATAGGTATGTTTACTTACCTCAAGTTTGTCTCTTAGACCCTAGTTGTGTTGTACTCAGACTCATGTTTGCTTAGAGACCCAATGAGGCAGAACCTGGAATGTTATGGCTATTTCATTCAAAATAATAATGTTTGCATAGAAAAAAAGAAATATATGCATATAGATACTTAATAAACAATACACCTTGATAATCTGATCAATATTCATGAAGTAATTTACACTGGCATGTAGTTAGATTAAAATAATCAAATAACTTGGGGTTTTTTAAGAGACAGAAATGCCTTAATGTGCAAAGAAAATATGGAGGGCATGTAAACAGTCACAAGAAGTGCATAAATAATGCATGCAAGAGAAAACACAAATATATATAAAAAGTTTCTGTGTTCTTTTTCAAATAAATTGTTCATAAATGTTTCTGCTTTTCTTTTTCTTTTACTTGTAAACTTTTAATCATTCATATTTACAGTCATTCAAAGTGCAATATACAGTAGAAATAGCTCTTTTATTAAAAATATCATGCTTGACTTTTTTATTTATTAGAAAGATTCCTTTTAACTATTTTCTTATAGGTAAATATATGAGTATTCTCTATTCACTATGCTGTCTCATGTTCTAATCAAGTTTTATATATATATATATATATATGTTAATATAACAAGCCAAGATACTGTGATTAATAATGGAACAGATACAGTAAAATTCTGCAAATGTTGTCATTCATTATATAAAAGATATTATTTCATGAGAAAAGGGGTTTCCTTACCCCAGGACTGTGTTTCTCATTATTGTGCCATGCATCAAAATGGATACATGTATTTTTTATTTATTAATGTGTTGATTTAGAGATATTAGACCAACAATGGATGATACTCAAGGCCACCTCAGTTACAAGGAAACCACACATATGTGGCTCTTTCAAAAATTAGTCACACAAAAACGTCTTTGGTTTTTAAAAATTGTACCTGTTCTCTGTTGACCTGTGTGTGCATGCATGTGGGTATGTGTAAAATAGTAAAAGAAAAAGAAAGATATAAAGTAGAAAGGTAAAACTGAGATACAGTATCCTTCAGGAAACAGGAATAGGGATGAGAGAGAGAGATAGAGGAAGATAATATAATGGTATGTGCTATCAGGAAACAGAAATTTAAACAATAAATAAAGGAGAATGAAAATATGTCTTTACTGAATAAAGAGTGAATATGTTTGGGCAATCAAGTCCATACACAATAGTCTTCATCAAAAATCTATTGATACTGACCGCTGAACAGCTTTATCATGTCTGGACAGCCTGTGACTTGTGGTTGGTACCTCTTCAATTTCGTCTATCTCACACACATCTGCAGCATCTTGTGAGTAGCTATGCTTCATGACAAGGATATTTCTCCTGTTCATGGGCTGAATGAGTGGTTTTACAGGCTGGGGTTGTATTTCTGTCAAGACAGAAGCATCTCTTGTGCTGAGGTTACTACGGCTGCCCTTAATGCTAGACACTTGTGATCCACAGTGATGGTCATGAATGCATTTTGAAGATGATCTCCGCAGTTTATGATAATTTTCAAAGTCATCTGCAACATCAGCAAGGTCAGCTGTAGGCCCTGTCCCTCTGAGGGTGCATAACTCATAATGAGGAGGCTCAAACACCTCCTGGAACACTGTTTGATCAAAGTCTGTTTTCCTTTGGACAAATTTTTTACGAGGCTGCTTGATCTGTACTATAACAGAGATAATAATGAGGATGATCACAATGCAAGAAGTCACCCCAATTATAGTCCCACTCGTGTTGGTAAGTTGGTCCAATATGTTAGCTTTTCTTTTTTCTGTGTGACAGGAGAGAAAAAAAAAAAAAAAAAAGCACAGCATTAATTTCAGTTCAAGAATAAAAACAACTGTGATGGGTTCACAGATTACTGAAAAACTGAGCCTAGCCTATGTCTGGGTTCACTTAATCAATCTCATTGACAAAAAGAAAACAAAAGAAGAAATCATGTTCATAAAAGCCAAATAAACAACACACAAGTCCTCTGTGTGCCTATTCACTTGGAAAGTGATTTATTCAGGGTATATTACAAACTTAATTAGATGAAAGAATTACTTAAGTTTTTTATAAAAAGCAACCACCATAACAAGCAGATGGCTTTAGTGTCACCTCAACTCCATTTGCCTGCTAAAGCCCTCAAGACTGTTACAGGTTTCTCTTCTTTATTTTCTGTCTCTTCCAGTAAATATATGCAACTAGGACATTAGGACCAATGAAAGAGCAAGACTTTACAGGATTTAAAAATATATTTTTCTTTGCATTGAGAACTTTGATGAAGTCCTAATATTTGTGAGCTGACTGGGACAGCTGACAATATTCAATGGTAATACTACATCAGGAGAAAATAAAGTTATTCAAACTGAGGTTTTGGAAAAAAAAAAATGTGCAAGTTATTTCTTTTGTTCCTGACCTATTAATTACCACAACTTTTCTAAACACCTATAAAAATCCAAAAGCTGATCCTACTTATTACTCTTTAGTCAGGGGCCTCTAGGAATTTAGCCAGCAAATTCAGCATTGTGAATGAAGAAAAACATAAAACATGCAGTAAAATAATTAGAAGAAAACCAGTTTCACCCTACTGTTGTGTACATTTCTCTGTGATTTGCTTTCAGATGGCTACAGTCACATGAGACAGTGACTGAGCCTTGTAGAAATCCAAGCTGGAGGCATTCGCATCAGTCTCTCACAGGCATAGCAAGACTCGAAAACTGTGATTGAGTTTCAACACCCAGTTTAGTGCAATTTTTCCTGGCAACCTAAGACATATCAGACTTAATACAAAGCCTTTGAAGTGAAAGTTATTGACATCAAAACAATAACATCCATCTCTTCATAATCTCCTAGATACCAAAAATGAACTTCACAGTACTCCCCATTGCCTAGTCTTGTAGATTCACCTGGGGTTTCTCTAACTGACTGACACAGATTCTGGGGAAGTAGCAAGGTTAGAAAAAGCAACACAGCAGCAAACAACCTTTTTGCTGGCATCAGCAAACCTCCTTTTTCCAGTCAGAAAACCAAAAGAGGATAAATGCACAAGACCAAATTAAAAGCTACTTGGCAAATGAAAGATGAAAATAATTCTGGAAATTAAAGAGTGGGGAAGTTTTCCTGTTTTCGTCTCTGCTGAAGAAGTAGAGAACAGATAATTATTTCCCAATCATATGTTTAGTTCCTTTGAAGAATATTATGCAATGCTACGGTTTTGCTGTGTTCTTTTAAAATGTCTTTTCATTTGTGTTTTACCCTATTGCATTGCTTGTCAGGATTTTACAGGCTTCAGCAGACTTACGGACTGTCTGTTAATCCATCTCATTCTGAATTTTTCCTTGATTGGTTCCTAAATTTGGCATATCCCATGTTTCCAGGAACAAATCTGCAGTAGTGAAGGGGTGCAGGAGGGAAGCAAACTGTCTCCCTAGCCTGCAATATAAGTTAGTTAAACTCTTTTCCCTGTAGACAATCCAGATGTTGATTTTTTTTTTTTTTTTTTTTTTTTCAGAAACAGAGAGCAATATTTAGAAAGCATTATCAACACCTGGCTAGGAACATCAGTCCCTACTTATGAAATACACATTATGCCTAATTTCCTGTGCCTAATTCTTGCTCTTCAATTTCACCTGAATATAGGTAGATTTTGTTGCTTTCTTACAACGTTAATTCCACTTCCCCTTGTCTTTTTAGCCCACCTGGGCTCTCATGGGCATGGCATGAAGCTAAAAGACACCTGCTACCCATATGTTACTCCACTACAAAGGTAACTATGACAAAGGAACCAAAATATGACTTTTAATTACATTTTATATTGTAAGGGAAACAGAAACAAAGTAATCAGAAAGCCTGCCAGGAGGACATAACTGGGCAGAAAGACATAACCAACACATATCAACACGAAGCAAAAAGCAAACACAAACTAAAATCCATCGGTGTTTTTACCTCTCTTCATTTTCTCTATTGCTTAATATATGCTCTCCCTGAATTACTCTTCTTCAGCTTTGACCCATCTGGCACATACTTAACAAGAATCTAAGGAGAATATGCTGTAACCCATGCAGACTAAATGACTCAACATTTCCATTTCTACACATTACCTTTGCAGTGGTTTTCATCCCAAGGATACACACAATTCTGGAGTCCATTGCAGACCAATGTATTATTAATACACATATTACTGTGGCAAAAGAATGCGTTGGCTTCACAAGGGGCTAAAAACAAGAGAGAAAAAGCTGATATTAAGTAGTAAATCATTCACCTCTCCACAATAAACACATCTAGGAGTGTTCACGTAACCTGCAATAGGGAAAAGCTATACAACATAGGTTCCTTGAGCATATTTAATATTCGACATGCAAGATTGAGAGCACTCCAGTCACAGACTGTTTATTATTCTGTGGCAAGAAATTTTCAGTTCTAAGATGGGTGGACTTCCCATAGTCTGACTCTTATGGCTGTAGTGGGTAGGCTCCCCATACATTGGTGGGTGGTCACCGATATGTTATCAAGAGTTTTAGCCACAGATCCAAAGCACAGCACCCTATGGGCTCCTATGAAAAAAAGTTAACTGTATCCCAGTCAGATCTGGTATATGAGAAATAATTAGTTTTAAAGTTTGTTGCTGAAACTCCAGTTTTATAAGAAAACCTGTGCGACTCAAAGAAGGCATGTACTTTAGTGCCCATATCAACAGTCTCTGAACATTTATACATAGAAAAAATAAATTAATTTTTAAAACCCTTTGTTCATAAGAAAGGCTACAGTAAAAGGTACCCCTTTGATCACAAGTGTGAACACTAAAAAAAGCAAAAATCTTCAGTGACCCTGAAGCCCATGGGCTGGGAGAATCGTGCAGATTAAAGCTGCAGGATAAAGGCTTTACTGAGGGCCATATACTCTGAAGAAGCAGCTTGGAAGATGTCAGAAGGAATTGTACATGCTGCTAAACTGTGCTACTTAGTCAGGTGTTGGGAGATCCTTAGGAGTTGGGGTTGTAAAGATACTACTCCAAAATTATATAACATAGTAAAGATAAATTACTCCTCATATTTCTTTTGCTAAAACCAAATGGGATGATCTTCCTCCATTTAGAAAAAGAGCTATAAACTTTATCAGTAAAATGGTTTATGTATTTTTTTAGCTCAAACAACCCAAAAGCATTATCATAATTATTTTTAAGGGAAAATTAAAAAATAACCTAAGACCCTTAACTAATCAGAAAGGAGCTATGATGCTCATATTATTGAAACTTGTAATTTGATGTTTAATGTCAATTTTATCCTCTGTAAATTAAAAAGCTGTTCCTATGACAGCATATATGCATATCACAGAGACTGGCTCAGAGCAGATGACTGCTTCAGTGGTTTGCTAAGGACAGTACAAAGAATTTATACTCTCTAACTTAATGGCTCCATATATCATGCCAGGAAATCCATTTTTCAGTAAGTGCTTAAGTTCAGATATCTATAACTGACTATAATGACTTCTTCAGAGCAGTTATGGTCTGTTAAACAAATAGTAAACACCATCAAAACTTGTACACATCCCCAAAGATGTAACCATCCACTTGAGTGTAACAGTATATGTATACTGTATCTCTTAGCCAATGCAGAAGACTTATTAGCCAGACTGGTTCTGCGCACTGTTCAGTATTTGGGAAAATCTGGCATACCATCTCCTAAACTGCAGTGACCCTGGTCAGATGTTAAGTTTGTTGCAGGAAGGCTTTTACTTTAAACTGGTGAGAAAGAGAAGAACAGCACACATGCATATTAGCAAGGGAGGGTGTTTTAGGACAGTGTTTATCTATCTGGTGCTGCCATTCATGATGTGACACTTCATATAGGTAACCCACCAGAGGCACAGTCATCCTTTCACACACTAGCTGCAATCCCTGTTTCTGGGCAAGATGAGGATCTTTTCAGACTGGTACAACACACAGAAAGAGTCTCACTGCCTGCTCTAAGCAAAAAAGTGAAACAGAGAGGGAGAGAATTTATGAAAGGGAAACCTAAGAAGACCTAAGTAGCCACTCATTCAAAATACATGGTAATAAGAAGTGCCCAAGAAAACTCAAATGACAAATGGAGAAAGCACAAAATGTGACAGGAGAACAAGTTAAAAAAAAAAAAAAAAAGTGTAGGATTAGGAAAGTTTATGCTAATGAAGCCATAAAGAAGGAAAAAAACCCACCAAAACACTAAAAAAAAATGTAGAGTGGCATGAAAGGCCTTAGAAGTGAAGTGGCAAGGACAGTGCTGTCTCTGATCAAGCAAAACCTCCTAGATGTGTATGACTAGCTCTTGCCATTTTAAAATCAGTCTGATTTAACACTGAATGCAATAATAAAGAAAGGATTGATAGTGGAAAAAAACACTCAAAAGAATAGGAAACAATTTAAGGGAAGGAAGGACAGCTGTGTGAGGCAGAAATAAAGAAATTCAGAAGCATAGTGGCGGTAAGTAGAAAAGGAGAACTAGAAGAAGATAGTAAAGGAAGTGAAAGGAAGAGGAAAAAAGAGAGAATTGCACAGCAGAAATAGATGACACTTCAGGCACTCTGCACAAAAAGGAAAGACAAGAGATTTTATATCAAATGAAAAATATTAGGAAATGTTTCAGAATTAAGAGAGAAAAAATAAGAGCAGTACAAAACTTATTTTTTGCAGATTTAGGAAAAAGGGATAATTATGCAAAGGGACGGCAGGGAGATGAGTGGAAATGAAAGGCCAGAGAAAAGAAGAAAAAAGAAAGAAAATTTCAGTTTCTCTAAATTGTGCTGTTGAACTATGGAGGAAATAGTTGATATGTGAATAAATGTCAAAACGAGATTAATAGCAAGGCAGAGCAATTTCAGAATAAGTACAGCAAATTTAACATGAGAGAAACCCAAATGTAAGATTCCTAGCCCTAATGACAAACACCCCCTCTTGTTCATGTTTATAAAATTAGTATAGTCCAGTCCTCTCCATGGTCCTTTGAACCTGGAGTGATTGAGTTGGACAAGAAAACAATATATTTTCCCCACTCTAATGAAGGCTCTTTGTTGGAATGAACGAAAGCATCAAGGGAAGCTGAAACCTTGTCAGTCCAATTATACATTGGAGGAATTAGGCCTTTTGTCCTTGAATAGGCACATCAACGGTGTCTTGGGATGCTGCATCGAGGCCATTCTAGTAATAGCAAAAAATAAATGAACTGGTAGTAAACAGGATTCTTTTACAGCAAGATGATCTGGTCCTGATGCTTTCCTGAAGCTCTTATAGAACTCAGGATGGGAGTGGAATCAAGCAGACAAGGGATGTGGCAGCTACATTTGATATCTATACCCTTCCTATATATATCATCATCTATGGCAATGCCTCGGTATATAAGTGTTTAAACCTGAGGAAAGGTTGTGAGTGTTTTCACAAAAGGAAGCTACTGCTATGACTGGCTTCAACTAGATGAAACATCACAAACCTCTCCGCCCAGCAGAAACCCTACTCTATCAGTGTATGGTCTTCCCCATGAGTATATAAATGCCCTTTATATGAGAGAGCAGTGGCAATGCACAGAGTTGTGCCTTGGGTTGGATGAGGATCCAAGTGAGAGTTTGTTGATCACGGTTAGTGGGCAGCCCAGGGTTAGCCCACAGCTACCAATACTGTGGTTGGTGTCTGTCTGCTACGGACTACCTGATCAGGGACAAGAAGTAGATGCAACCTTCTTCAGACAGCTGGAAGAAGCCTCATGTTCACAGACCCTGTTTTTTATAGGGGATTTTAACCAACCAATATCTGTGAAGGGCAACACAGCAGAGTACAGCAAACCAGGAGGTTTCCAGAGTGCATTGGTGATAACTCCCTGATACAGGTAATCAAGGAACTGATGAGGGGAGCTCTACTAGGCCTCAGAGTTTTATAAACAAGGAAGAACCAGTTGCGGATGTGAATGTCAGATGCAGCCCTGGCTGCAGTGATCATGAGATGATACAGTTCAGGATGCTGAAGGAAGGGAATAAGGCAAAAAGCAGGATCACAAGTCTGGGCCTCAGGAGAACAAAATCTTACTGTTGAAGGGTCTGCTTGGAAAAACGTTATGGGAGGTGGTTCTGGAAAGATGAGGGCTCCAGGAGAGTTGGTTGATTCTGTAAGAATGCCTCATTTGAGCCCAATAGTATCTATCTGGACAAGAGAAACTCAAGTGAAGGTGGCAGCTGGCCTGCATGGATGAACATTGACTTCCTGACTAAATTTGGACATAAAAACAACACAATACAGGAGGTGGTAGCAGGGTCAGATGACCCCAGCAGAAACATAGGGGCACTGACCAAAGATACAGTGATACAGTTAGGAAAGCTGAAGCCTACCTGGAGTTCAATCCAGTGAGAACAAAAAGGACTTCTACAGATATGTCAGCTTCCAAAGTAAGATGTGGGAAAATGTGAGTGTGATGCTGAATGGGGCAGGGGACTTTGTTACAAAGGACATGGAAAAAGCTGAGGTATTGAATTTCTTCATCTTCTCCATCATTTTTTATGGTGGGATTTGCCTTTTGGAGTTTCAAGTACATGAGATGAGGGAGAAAGCCTGGAGCAAGAAAGACCTATCCTCAGTGGGAGAAGACCAAGTTAGGGAATATTTAAACAAACTGGACAGACATGAGCCCATGAGCCCTGATGTGATGCCTTCAGTAGTTGGATAATGCCATTGTGAGGCCACTCTTGATTATCTTTGAAAAGTCATGGTGATTGAGGGAGATTTCTGAGGACTGGAATAAAGCAAATGTCCCCCCATCTTTGAGAAAGGTGAGAAGGATTATCCTGAGAGCTACGCTACATATAAATCAGCCTCATGTCAATCTTTGGGAAGGCAACAGAGAAAATAATCCTGAAAATAATTTCCAAACACATGAAGGAAAAGAAGAGTGTTGTCTGCATGGAGTTATGAAAGGGATATCATGCTTGACCAACATGACAGCCTTCCACAATTGAATAACTGGCTTCGTGAGTGAGGGGAGAGCAGTGGATGTGTTTCTCTACTTAAGAAAAGCTTTCACCTTGTTTCCCATAGCATCCTCATAGACAAATTGATGAATATGGACTAAATAGCCAGTGAGTTGAACTGAAATTGGCCAAACTGCCAAACTCAAAAAGTTATGATCAGTAGCATGAAGTGCAGCTGGAAGCCAGTCACTAGTGATGTAACCCAAGGTCAATACTGAGGCCAATA